TAACCCTAACCCTAACCCTAACCCTAACCCTAACCCTAACCCTAACCCTAACCCTAACCCTAACCCTAACCCTAACCCTAACGGTATAGGTCTAGCCCGAGGCCTTCGGTACGAAAACAGGCCCCTAATTATTTAGATCCTATCCGGTCTTTTCCGGTATCCGCCCTTATTATATCCTAATACCCGAGGTCCGAAGCCCTTAGTTAGGGAGTAGATCCCCTATAGACCACGTCGTAGTCCTGTCTATACGATAAAAACGGGGTAGCTATAGTATCCTCCGTTATATTAGGATTAACGATAAAGGCTTTGTATTTACGAATATTAGGTAGTATAGGCTTAAGGAGTAGATAGGCGTTAGCCTCCTTATCGCTTAGCTTTTAATTAAGATAGTTATCCTAGTAGGAGGCAGATTTACTATATATACTATACTCCTATATCACCTAATCCCTTTAGTTAATAAGGGTAGTAGCGGCTACCTTCTATTTAGTATTAGATATATTAAAAGACATCTTTACTTACTTATCGGTTAGTTAATTAAATTAATAAGTAGGTTAGTAAGTTACTTAATCACTTAATTACTCTTACTCTAATTAGGTCGATAATAGTTATTTAAGAGTGCTTATATAAATATAATTACTTTTATAGTAGAATAGGGGTAGCCTTATTAATATATATCGTTTAGGCATTATAAGCCGGGCTTATAACTATTATACGTTAAAATAGCACTGATATAATTAACTTAGTAAAGCAGAAATCTCGTATATATATATTATATTAAGTTATATCTATATAAGTCTTTTATACCCTTAATTTAGGTAGTAAAGACTTTGTTATGGGTACTATATTATTTGGATCCTATCCGGTCTTTTCCGGTATCCTCCCTTATTATATCCTGATACCCGAGGTCCCCGAGATCCGAAGCCCTTAGTCAGGTATGGATCCCCTAGGGACCACGTCGTGGTCCGTGTACCCATACGACACTTAGGAGGTCTGGCGACAAGGCTGACGAACCTAATGGCTATGTGGCTTCGTGCTTGTCGCCTTGTCGAGTCTTGTTAAACACATCACCAATCTCCCGACGAATCGTCCTTCGCAGATCAAAGCATATCCATTGCGTGGCTGAGATTAGTTTGCATTCTCATTTCTCACCATATCAAGCCATCATCTAGTGCAATACCGATCTCTGTGCGACGCGCTCAATCACGCGCCTCCGAAGGCGCTCGATTTTGTTCCTTGAACAACAGTCACTCGTTCTATCACCATTAGAGACAGAAACACGATGCGGACGTCACGCCTGTTGCTCTCATTTGCGCTCGGTCTCCTCAGCGCCTCACAGGGCCACGCCGCCGACACCGACACCAAAACAACGACGACGGCATCACCACCCGCATGTACGGCCTACTCCCACACTTCAGGCGCCTTCTTCGACTTGCGGCCGGCCATTGCCAGCAAACCAAGTGAAGGAAAGTCGAAGAAACACGGGGCGACCGAGGATTATCATGTTCGAGGCTACGATTATGGGCGTAACTTTACACTCAACATATGCGGATCCGTTTTAGACCCCGTCGAAGATGTAGTCGGACTCGGCAAGGCGGAATGGAAGAACGTCAGCGCCTACTACACATACAAGGGCGAGATCTACTCAATAGGGTTTGTCGCCTCTTTCTCCCTTTAATTCTTTCCGGGTGACTCTGACTGGTGGAACATTCAACGCGCCACAGGCAGCAATCATTTGACCTCCAAAGTCACGGCCGCATGGTTGTCCTGCAATACACCGACGGTTCTCCTTGTGGCGGATCCAAGTCGTCCAAGAGTCGCAACAGGACGATTCGAGACACGTCCACCGAAATCTCCTCCGTACCGGTTTCTGACGACAGCACTGACCGAATGCGACACTATGACACGTACATCACTGACGACGAAGACGATGATAACCCAAACGACGAAGATACGAACAAAAACGAGGCGAAGAAGGCCGACGACGACGAGGTTGACCACCATCCCCGCCGCAAGTCGGCCACTCTGTCCTTCCATTGCGAGCCGGAACACCTCGGCGGCCAGGCTGGCATCTCCTTTGTGGCGGCCGACCCGGACGACTGCGCCTACTTCTTCGAGGTGCGGTCGCAGCACGCCTGCGCCCGGGCGGAACCCCACCAGCCAGGCAGCGTTGGCCCAGGGAGCGTCTTCGCCATCATCCTCGCCATCACTGTACTCGTCTACTTCGGCGGCGGCATCTTCTACCAGCGCACCGTGGCCCACGCCCGCGGCTGGCGCCAGCTCCCCAACTACACGCTGTGGGTCGGCATTTGGAGCTTCATCTGCGTAGGTCCCGCCCTGCTCTGCTCTTCCTGCTTGCGTTTGCCGGGCACTTTTGTTGGTGGTCCTTTGTCGCGGTCAAAGTGGGAAACGGGACTATTGTCCCGGTGGTGGAAGTGATATGGGTCTTCGTCTACTCTACTTCCTCCTTTCGGTTTTCGTTTCCGGTTTAACTCTCACTCTAACTTGGTTTTCTACTCTTCGCGTCAACAGGACATGTTCATCATTGCCACATCGTCGTGTGGTCGACTTATTCCCAAAAGACGCGGATATCACCATCTCGCCGGGTCGCCCCGTCGCGGCCGGAGTAGGGAAGACGAGAACCGTTTGATTGATCAGCTGGACGAGGAGTGGGACGACTAGATTTGGGCACATAATAGAATCGGATTTGATGCATATGATAGAATGACATATCGGCCTCTTGGTCTGGAAATATAACGAACATCGCGTACACCTCTTGGATTCGACTACGGTCACGATAATTATTCTCCCAACTCAAGTCCGGACACTCTGTACTCGATATGCTGCCAGCTGGTGACGGTCGCCGGACAGAATGACCTCCATACTTATCCTCCAGGCTCGCCTCGTCGTCCGTCCATCTTCAGTGATCCCCTCGACCCCTCCATCCCAATCAATCCTTCGACAGCTTCGACAGTCCGCACTAGTTCAATTCATGTTCGCGCCAGTCCAGCCTTGTCATGCCTCCGATCACAGCACCTAACAACCTCCCGGATGTCGTGCGGACAGCCTTCATTCGCGCCAAAAACAATAGCGACCTAACGTACTACGCGACCCAGGTGACTATTCTCACAGCAAATGCAGTCCCCGTAAGATTCTCCAGCTCGGGAGCTGTCTCTCCTTTTTACCCATGCCGTACAACGTTCTGAACTCTATGAGAAACCACATGTAATGATCGATGCCCTCCAGTTACAATTACGCTTCTCGCCCGCCCTCGCGAACAAACCATCCGCCCCTCGCACGAATCCCTCCCCCGAATCCCCCCATAAACCCTTCAACCCCTTCGAGAACCCCGAGAACGGCCCTCTCTTCATCACCGACCTTCCTCCATCCCATAACCTCGTCCTAAACAAGTTCGCCGTTGTCCCTGAACACTTCATCCTCGCCACGAAGAAGTTCAAACCACAAACCCACCTTCTCGAACCAGATGACCTCGAAGCGGCATACGCCTGTATCAATGCATACCACGAGAAAGGTGCCGAGGGGCAACTCTATGTGTTCTTCAACAGCGGACCGCACTCCGGTGCCAGCCAGCCACACAGGCATCTACAACTCTTGCCCGTGGCGCGGATGAAGGATGGCCTGGAGGACCCGACGGCCTGGGATGTGCTCGCCAACCGGCTTGTGGGGGGCCGGACAGTTGAAACACCGTTCAGGACATTTGCCGGCGCCATCTCGGCCGGGATGACTGGGGAGGAGCTCCATGCAATCTACCTGACACTATATCGACAAGCAGTCGAGGCCATGCGGGACCATTCTCTCCCAGGAACGGAGATTAACGAGAGTGTCACGGCGAAGGTGGACGGCGAGCCTGCGCAGATCAGCTACAACATGGCCATGACACGGAATGCGCTGGTTATTTGTCCGCGACGAGCCGAGGGCGCTACCATCGTCTCGAGTAATGGGGATCTCGTGGGCACGCTGAGCCTCAACGGGACTGTGCTGGCTGGGACGGCTTTGGTCAAGAGCCAGGCCGAGTGGGATACTATTCGGAATGATGGCAATGGGCGGGTCCTTTTGGACGTGTTGGGCAAGATTGGTCTGCCACTCGATGCTTAGCGGAATGTCAGACTCTGACACAGCCACCTCATGGATAACAGATCAAGGACCGAGAGAAGGTGGATGAAGGAAGACGGGATGGTGGGTTTTGGCACGTGTTTCTTATAAGGGCTGGGAGCAACTATTAAACATAAATCCTGCCTTAGACCAGGAGGATGTAACATACATAGAACAGACCTGGAAAATCGAGATAGGTGACATTTAGAGAACCTCATAACGCTGTAGAGCAAAAGCATCGAGAAACAATATCCCAAGCTGTGGCCGAACTTGCCGCCACCCTAGCCCCGTCGCGCTCTTCATATGCTCACTCGTTATAACCCAAGTTGCGTAGGAAAAAGAAAAAAAGAAAGGAAACGAAAAGAAAAGAAGACAAAAAACGAATAACAATTCCACCGTCGTCATCTTGCGTTTCTCTACCGCTCAGCCACTGCCAACTCGTCCCACTTCTTCCGACACGTCGCATTCCCAAACAAATACGACCCCCCTTTCTGATGGATATATTCCGCCACCTGCTTCCAAGGCACCTTGGCCGCCTCGGGTCCCATGCCCCTGGTGAACTTGCGCACAGCCTTTTTGAGGAGCTCGATCTGCGTGGTCCGAAAGTCAGCATTCGCTATATCCAAAGGTAAGAGAGCGATAGCTCAACTCTCTTGGATAGATTGGGGGGGGGGGCCATACATCCTTCTCGCTCCACTCAGGTTTGCGAACCCTCTCCTCTCGACTCTTCGTCAACGTCCTGTACCGCCCTCGCAGCGTGCTCTCTGCCTCTGTGAACCCCCCAGCTGCCCTGATCTCGCGGTACGTCATGCCCTTGCGCTTCGACACCAGGAGGAATTCGTCTCTGGCTATCCTGTCCGCTGTTGCCTGTGTGAATGGGATTGGAGGCGTAATAGTACTGTTGTTACTGGTGCCTATCGTGTCCGAATAGGGAAGAGTTGAGGGTGTAGGAGATAGACGAGAGCTCACTCTCGGATATTGCTCGTCTGTTCGGCGCGTGTCTGTCGCTTTGTTATCCTCTGTCCGTCCTGACGACACTTTCAGGGGCCGTGGCTGGAGGAGGCGAGGGGAAGGGAGAACCTTCCGAGGAGATGATGGTCTTGGCTGCATTTTCTTGGAAGACCGTCGTGCGGAGGGTGACGGGGGCGGTGATACCATTTTATGGGCAGTTTGGGAGTTGCGATGGGCTGGTACCGAACTGGCCTTGGCTGGAAGTTGTTTCCTCCCTTTTTTAGCAGTGGTCGTGCGATTCGTGCCTTTTCTTGATGGATGATTTGACGACGATGTACGGGACGATCCCCTACATTGACGCAAATTTACGCAGATGATTTCGTCTTCCTGGTCCCCGCTCAGAATATGGCCATCTTCCTCATCCGTAGCGAGGAGATTCAGTGGTAAGGGGCCGTCAGTGAAAGCCACCGGAGAGAGATCCCCTCGGAGAGGGAGATCTTTAGGGGACAAAGTTGTAGCCGGCTCCGCCTGCATGGCTCCCAGCCAAAGGGCTGGGTGCGAGTGAGGGTGGGTTTCGACCGTCCCGCCCATGTTGCGAAGCATCCCGGAATGGTCCTGCATCCCGGTGAGAGGGCCATCGACTGAGTTGAAAGAGCTGTCTACGTCCAGTCCTGTTCCAGCTGACAGAGGAGTGGAGGAGAAGCGTCCAAAGCCCTGTGCATGAGCGTGTGGATTTGCTCCGCCTCTGCCACTGGGATCTGCTGATAGCTGCGTGGAATGTGTATATGCGGCAGACTGATGCGACATCAGCATCTCTTGATGCTGCTCCTGAGTGGTTGGCATAGTTGTGTTGGGAAACAGGTGGCTGGATAGGCCCTCCTGGCCTTGAAGAAGGGGGAACGACATGACCGAGACGTCCGGGTTAGCAAAGCCCGCGAAGGCTGGTGTCGAGGCAGTGGTGGAAATGGGCCAGGTCAGAAGATGATCCAACATCCCATCCCCATCAGCAGGAGAATAGGAGTGGCCGTGGAACGGAGCATTTTGCTGGGCCTGCATGGTAGGGAAGAGGAGAGACGGGCGGTCGTAGCATGGAAAGGGGTTATTGACTGTGCCAGTCATGTAGGTGTCTCGAACTTGTTCAGTTGCCTATGAAGCAAAGTCAAACAGCGTTAGCCCTGTTGTCATCATTTACTCGATACCTCGACGTTGTGTAAAATCGAACATATGCAGACAGGGCATGTCATGTATCATATCCAATTTGTTCCCGTGCCGAAACATTGAAAAGGAGGAAGAGACAGAGAGTCGACCCACGATGCAAGTGATAGAATGAAATAATGGAGCATGGCAATGAGACTAAGAAGAGAAAAAGAGAAATCGTTACATACCTCGTAGTGATCCTGCATCCTGTCATATGGATCAGGCAACCAGTCCTCGCCATCAAACTTGACGTTCGTCATGGCAGCTGCAACGCCTTGACCCCGAGGAGGATATTCGAGGCCCTGGACACGAATGTCTGATTCTCGGCACTCTCCCCGTTGAAGTGGACGTTGTCCCGGACAAGGACAAAATTCGTGTGGCGAGTTGTGATGTTGCTGGCTGTCTATGCTCTCTACCAATCGCTGTTCCTGCTGCTGTGTTGACCGGACGGCACTCAAAGGGGGACGATGATGGCCCGACCTGCCCAAGAAACTCAGGTCCAAGTCAAGGCTGGGGCCTGAGTTCTGACAAGTCACTTGGGAGTCCTGAGGAAGAACTCCCTGCTGCTGTTGTTGCTGCTGCTGCTGCTGTGCCGGTGACGCTCCAGAATCTGAGCTTCCAGGGGTACTAGGCCACGTCAAGGTACCGGGAATATGGGCTGAAACCGTCGCCTGCGGGACTGACGCTCCTTTTGTCCCTGCGTGCTCGTTCTGTGAGGATAAAATCTCGAAAGTTGGGCGCCCCCTGATCACGGGCCAGGGATAGTTAGGCCGATGGTGACAGCCAACCTGGCTCCACGGCTGAATACGATGGCGGTGATAATAGGGGTGACGAAAATGAAAAGGATAGACCTGTTTGAGAGTAAAGTCTTCTGACTCGACGTCGTGAAAGGCGAGCTCGGGTGCAGTGCTGCTCATAAACATGGCGTCTTTGAGCCCTTGGAAGGGCAATGAAACAGCCATGTTGTATACTCTGTTATCTGGTGGGTGATATTTCGGGTTTCCTCCCTTCACCGCTTCTTCTACACCTTCTATGGAGTCCTTCTGCGCGTTGTCTGAGACGCTGCTGCGAGTGTGTAGTTGGCAATGTCGTCTACCGTATGCATGGAAGGGCGGGGAAACGAGAGACAGACCGTCGAGAGGAATGGGTTGAGAGTTCGGCGGTGCGGTCAGACATGCGCGGTGGGCTTAGAGCTCGGCCGAGAGAGAACTCAAAGGAGAGAACAACAAGAGAGATAACCTATGATGGTTGGGCTTGTACGTGACTGGCCGGCGGTGGAGGGCGAGGACCAGTACGTGTTTGGTTATACAAGGCCCTGCCGGCCGGGATCAGGTCAGCCTCCGTTGGTTTTCTCAGTGAAAGATGCCCAATATCGACGTCTACGGACTGATAGACAGGCCATATTGTTAGTGGTGCCCACGAGCGGTGAATCCCGAAGAAGGGGGACAACGGAGAGGGAGGGTGCTAGCTAACTCGGCTTCAGCCTTTACGGCTTCCCTTATCCTGGATTCTTGGGTGGAATATGTGGAGGAACAGTAAGGCAATGCGTCGTCTGGGGACCTAGATGGCGTTCCGTAGTCGTACTCGTTCCCCGGGATGACAGAATCACTCCAAGACAACGATAGTTTTCTTTGCGAAGAGAACTTCCAGTCGAGAACAAAAGAAAACGACCACGAGACGGTTAGCGAGCTCAAACATAAAATAAGGTGACCGTTGTCTTTCTAATACGACGAGCTGAGCTATCAAGTCCATCCCCCTTTCCCTCGTCCCTTGATGATTTCACGGATCAGACAGGTCACATTTTGGTAAAATCAAATTTCACCTTCCCGTCAGAGACCGGGGCCTGATATCACCTGCAACTTGAAGAAACACTGCGAGGCAGAGAGAGAAATACCCGCACTTCTCAAAGCGTCAGGGACGTTGCCCAAAAGGTTAGCTTGGGGTGGGCCCCAAGAGCCTCTTCTCGTAGGGGCATCTCCTTATACGGCACCCCGGGGAGAATCCGGAAGCCGGGGTTGATTATAGAGATCTTCGTTTTACCAGGGTTTGGACGGAAAGAGGGTCTAATAAAGTCTTCGGATAGAAAACGAGGAGGCCTGGGTGCGGGTTGGGTTATGACAGGCAGTGTGAAGAGGCAGACCACATGCCTTATCATTCTGACCAGATCTCAAGGACCATGCCCTAGCTTCGACTTTGTCACGTTTGGACACTATGTCTTTTCCTAAAGGAGGCCCGGTTCTACTGGATTGCCCAGGCTAATCTTCGCATCATGGCCAAGAGTGTGTAATGTATACATGTTTCCGTCAGCAGAATCTTTACCCGGCCGGCATGGCGTCTCAGATACCGCATAAGATCGACCCCGCCCCCCCTCTTGACAAGTTGACTTGTCCCTATGGCAAGGGCTTAGGGAAGGCAAAACGAGAGAGAAGAGCGAAGACAACGAATACTTGGCGCACTTCGGATCCTCGCCCACCTGGCTGACCGGCATTGGCCACCCTGCAAGGATCAGGAATGCCCAGTCTTTGACACATTGACAGCTCGATGGCCAATGGCCCGTCAACAGTCAACACCGGTCCACCGCCCGGAAAGCTGGAATCGTGCATGAGCCCAACCAGAACCTTAACCACCTGGTTCCCGGTACGGTCATCCTGAAGATGGACTATGATTTGCGAGACGCTGGAAGGAGATGTGCAGAATACTCTGCATAAACCACGTATCCACGAATGGTTGAACGCCTGGAGGCGGGAGCAGAGCAGGTTGCAGTTCCCCTCGAGGAACTCCTATTCGTTTTTACCGACACACGGTAGTCGATCTGGGGTTGACCGCTATAACTCGAACACATCTCAGCGAGGTGGTGGAGGTCCCGGATTCTGGAAGATTAAGGGAGGATGAGGAGAGACGCCATCGGGGTCGGTTTGCTTGCGTTTGTCGTTATGCCTGCGTTGATCCGGAATTTTTCTCCTGCAACGGTGGGAGCTAAAGACGGATCAACCGTCAAGACGAAGTGGCAAAGGCAAACCATCTACCATTGTCACATATCAGAAGCAGGTCACATGTGTCAGGTTGTCAAAAGTCTCTCTGCTTTCCCCTTTCCGTACTAAGTTACTAACACCGAGACACTAGTTACCAGTACAGCACCGTCCCAAGCAAAAAAAAAAAAAGGACGAAGGGGGAAAAATGACCAGTTCGTTTTTCCTTCGGGTCAAAGTGGCGTGGCATGGATCCTACTGGCAGAGAGTCGGATGTTTGCATGTGAAGTGGGGGTTCACCAAATCCCGCCTGCGTGGTGTAGGTAGAGAATAATCGACATACACCTACAGTATGCCGCTGCCAGTGATCCAGTGATGGGGTCCACGGTCATATGCTCCGATTCATCGTGTTCGGAAAGAGCCTCCTCGATGCAACGCTGCGGATGAGGCCGAGAAACCTTGCAGGTTCCAGTTTAGCCTACGACAACCGTGGGTGGCGTTTACCTCATCGGATTTTCTTTTGGGGGGGTTGGGGACTTGGGGCAGCGATTTCATAAGAGGTAATGTTTGTCTTCAAATGCGGCAGCAGGTAGGTGGCATCAATAGTCCCGGGGTAAGCTGTGCATTGGTGCAAGACTCGACCAAGGAAAGTTTTGAGCCGTGACGATCACTCAAGTTTGAGTATTCGTAGATCCCAGCTCTCGTTACTGGTATAAACTGAAGCACTTTGTGCAGTGTTACGTCGCGTGATAGTAGGCTAGTAGACCAGCCAAGAGGACCTGGATGTAAGCTTCCAGCACCTTTGGAGCAATAGGAACCATGAACCAAACACGTCGTTGAGGTCTGGTCACCGAGCGCAACGATCGAATTCCTTCTTTCCACGTACTTGTGACGGAAGAGGTGTGAGTCCCTGTGAGACACTTATGGCCAGCGAAGGCGTGAGACACGTATGCCACCGTCCACGGATGCATGGACCACACCTTACCATCTCCTAGACTCCTGAAGCTGTCACCTGTCATAGAGAAAACATACACGGCAGACTGAAGCGTTGCAAAGTCATCATGGCCTGTGGAGAGGGCATCATAGGCGAGAGCCAGGGGGGTGAGAATCGCCGGCTACCGGACGGTACCATGGATCCCGTGGAAAAAAATCCCGTCCAAACGGTTCTTCGTAGTTCTTGCCCGGTCCAAGAGCGTCGATTATAGTGCCCTGGCCCCTGACCCGATAGAGCAGTCGCCGTAGTTCTCGATTCATAAGATGTTTTCCGGTGCACCCCGCGGAAGGCATCGGGAAATCCGAAGTCGGAATCGCTAATGGGACCATGGTACGGTGCCCCCCCAGTTTGGTCCTGGTCCTGGTGGCGAGAGGCTTGCGAACGACGCTTGCAAACACCAGGTCGAGCTTGGTCCACTAGTCCGCTAGTCCACGGGTTCGCACGTCCGGAGGCTTAGATCAGCCTGACCTCATTAAATGAGGCCCAACAGGCGAAAGAGCATGGTCGAGTGCCAGTGAAGGGCAGAAGGATATCGTGGAAATAGCCGTCTTTCTACCCGTCTGTTCCTCTCTGCCTGATGCTGTGATAGGGAAGCAGTATGATGGGAGGAAGACGAGTCCTAGGTACGCATGTTGAATCCCCGTTTCTCCTACCCTGGTCTCTCATTGGGGCTTCACTTGGAAGTAGGTACTGACCGAAACATAGGTGCAGGCACAGGCGTTTGCGGCTTGCTCCCCTTGTTGCATTGCTGGATATTGCCGCACGTCAAACGAAGACGAGTCTGCGATGATATGTGAGCAGAGACCGATTGAAGAAGACTGGACGTCACAGCTGTGCAGTTTGAAGTCGGGAATTGGTATCTTTCTATTCGTCACTCATCTATCTCTCCCGAGAAGGTGTCGGATGCATCGAGTCCACGTATGTCTCCCATCTCCCCCTAGTTCACATTAAATGTTCGACCAAGACAAGAAGTAGGGGGGGAAAAGGGAAGTATCTATATAAGACGACGAGGCGGTCGTATTCCTCGGATCGTCTTCGAATGAGAATGGGAGTCCGATATGATTTGGAGGGCTCCGGGACGCTTGCTATCTATCATGCTCCTGGCAGACCAACGATCTGGCGCAGGGCAGGGACGAACCTGGGTAGGATGTAAACGGCGTAGAGTGCAATGGCGGAAGCGACAAGGCCCGTAACCTATCCAAGAGACAAATAGTCAGCAACTTTCCGCCTTCCACAATGTGCAACCCACTCTTCAAGTCTTGTCATAATGGCACGTACCTTCTCAAACCAAGTATGAAAGTAGATGGCGGTCATGAGCAACATCCAGCAGTTCAAACCAACCACTACGGCCACTGCCTTCCCCCCAAGAGCGAGAGCATCTTCTGGGCGACCCCCAGTCCTCTCCGTCGTGGAATCAGCCTCAACACCAGCTCCCTTGACAGCCCTATCGTGCATAACGATGCTGCGATCATCCCTCCGTCCCCGGTGCCGCCAATACACCCAACCGACCTCGGAAAGGAGAAAGCCACTGGAGAGCACAAGCATGAACACATGACCCGAGATGTCATGGCCGCCCTTCCACGCCCCACCGGCAGACTTGCACGCAAGCGCGCTAAGCACGTGCCCCGTATCCAAAGCGGCGGCCTTCTCCAGCTCCCGCGCCTCCTGCAACACGACCTCACACCGGCCCCCCGTCAACATGAAATGGCGATCAATCAACGGCGGGCCAAAGCACCACTGCGTCGCCGCGAACCAGGCGCCCGTAATCAGGGCCCATCTGGTGCACGCGGTGACGAATCGCTTCGGGGAAGAGCCGCCGCCGGCACCGCGACCGCCGCGGAAGGTGGGGTGGGTGAGGACGAAAGCGGCGAAAGCGACGGTAGTCCAGAACCACCCCCTCTTGACGAAGAAGACGTTCAACAGGTTATCTTTTCGCGCGAAGTAGCCCGGCGCCTCGTCCGGATGTTGCGCGTGGGATTGGGTGGTCGGGTCGAACTCGGCGCGGCGCACTTGCGGGGAGAGGACGGAGAAGAGGGTCCCGAAGGCGAGGAGGGCGGGGAAGAGGGCCAGGATGGCGGTCTCGAGTGGTGTGGGAAGGAAAGGAGAGTTGCGTCTTGTCGGTACCAGGGAGCCTGTCGTGGCGGTGGAAGGAGGATAGGGAGACGACGGCGAGGAGGAAGACATGGCGTGTCGTTCTTCGGCGAGGGCCCGGCGGGTTTTGGCAGACGAGCGGAGGTTCGTCGACGGTGGGGTGTCGTCCATGATGGTGATGGAGGGCAGGCGGTATATTCCTGCGTTATTGCATTGACAGCGTAGTTGCAATCCGTGGTGTTTGTGCAAGGACTGAATGAAGGGATAAAGCTGAAGGTGAAACTGGGAATTGCCAAGGAAATTGGAAACTTTGGAGCCAGCTATGACGTCTGCCTGCTGTGAGGGTACGTACCTCCCAAGGTACTACTTCCCCGCTCCACATAAGCGAGTCAGCTGACTACTCACGTTTTCGTACTTTTGCCACACCGAAACAATACCGAAACAATACCGGCACACCTTGAGTTTACCTAAGCTACACCGAATTCTATCGGACACACCGATCACGCCGACGGTTCCCAGGTTCTAACATGAACTTGCCAACTCTTATCTTCGCTTGTCAGTGAACTCGATGCAAGTGATGCTCTCTATGTCTCCTACAAAGTCGAGCCATGATTGGGACTACCAGAAAAAGACTTTTCATTAGACAGCTTAGCTATATACATCCGTCTGCAATTGCATGCGGCATGCCTGGAACTTGGAAGTCTCGGCACCCCATTTCCTGCCGCTTCGTTAGGTCAACCCTTCCCCTCGAGCACATGGTATTCTTGATTCCCCTCCAGTTCAGCAAGACCAGTAAAACACAATCAAGCCACACCCTGAGACCATAAGTCGAGGACGGGCGAAAAGAAAAAAGCCGAGGGGATGTCGAGGGGGCGAACATAGGGTATCTACGAAAGTGGAAAGAGCAAAGGGAGGAAAACACGACCGGTCAGCAGCGCTGGAGACATCTGCAGCTAAAGTGGGAAAAGAAAAAGTCTTCATCCGTCCATCCGTTCGGGAGAGAAAAGGAGAGCGAAAAAAAACCCCCCCGAGATCATGACTGGAAGGTAGCCAAGGTAGCACAGAAACTGTTCCGGTTGTCCCTGTCAAGGGCGACATTGTTCCCCTCAACGGTAATCATGCTGACGGCCGCCTTGGTGCTGATGCCGTAAAAGTGAACCGAGCTGTTCTCGAGCAAAGTCATGTGGTCCTGGCAGTTGTTCTCCGGGACGCACTGCTGGGCATAGTTGTCGAAGAAGGAGTACATGCCAGCGCCGAACAGAAAGATGTGGTTAGAGTCGATGGCCCTGACGCCCCAGGTACGGGCGCAGCGGCCGTTCTGGATGGCGTGCTGGGAGCAAAACGCCTCAAAGTCTGGGTCAAGCCAGGGTCCCTCGGTGTGCGGGCTGAAGGGGACCAAGGCATCCGGGTTGCCCTGGAAGTAGGCCGTCTCGGTCTGGATGTGGCCCAGGAAGACATTGTCGGCCGAGTTGAACTGGTAGTTGTAGAACACGTTGTGCTCCGAGGCGGTGCCCCAGAACCAGGCACCCTTGGTGGACTCGATGAGCACGCCGCGGCCGTTGTATATGTTGATCTGGCCCCAGCCCGGCAGGTCCAGCTCGTGGTCCGACACCCACCACCAGACGTTCTCGAAATAGCCCGACGAAGACTCGGTGATGTGGGTCAGCATCCAGCTGCCGACGCACTCCGGGTTGGGTGTGGTGGTGAATTCAGGGGTCTTAGCGCACGTGTCCGACTGCAAGCGCGTGCCGGCCGAGCCGCCGATGCGGAAGTGGACGTCCCAGAGGCCGGCGGCGCCGGGGGAGCTGCCCTCGATGTTGAACTCCATCAGGATGGCACCCGGCTGGGGGCCCTGGGTCTCGATCATGAAATCGATCATCTCGAAGGTGCCGACGTCGCCCGGTTGGCCGACGCGGAGCATCGGCTTGGGGTTAGCCTGGTCCTGGAAGTTGGTGTTGCCGCCGGCCATGAGGAGCGGCCAGATCTCACCGATGATGCGGGTGTTCTTGGGGACCTGCACAGTGTCGGTGATGATGTAGGCGCCGTGGTCAAAGTAGACGACGTCGTCGGGGCCGGCGCTGTTGAGGAGAGCCTGGATGGCGGCGGTGTCGTCGGTGGAGCCGTCGCCAGCACAACCGTGGGCCTTGGCGCGGAGGAAGCGGGAGGCGGGAACATCACCATACTGGGGCTTGCTGCGGGCGACGAAGCGGCCGTTGGAATCGACGAGCGAGGCCGGGCGCTGCACGGCGGTCTGCGGGCCCTGGATGTCCTCACCGCCGTTCTGCGGGGTGTAAGCGCGGCCCTGGGCCCACGAAGAGATGACCCGGTTGCCTTCGAGGACGACGCGGCCGGTGACTTCGTTTTGGACGGCGGCGCGCACGCCGGAGGACATGTCAACATTGTCGAGGATCAGAGTGCCGTTGGTCCAGGAGGACGAAGGGTCATGGGCCTGCATGATACCGACATCGGTGGCGCAGATGGTGCTGTCGAGGAGGAGGACGGAGCCGACGGTCTGGGCGTCGATGTGGCCCCCGTTGGCCATGTTGATGCCGATGTTGCAGTTGTTAATGTTGAGGCCGTGGAAGGTCCAGAGCCAGTTCCAGTTCATGAAGATGGCGGTGTCGCAGTGGTTGAAGGTCAGGTTGCGTGTGGTGAACTGCTGGCTGCCGATGAACATGCCGAACCGGCCGCCGTTGAAGACGAGGTCGGTCATGAAGCCGCCCGAGCCGTTGTCGATGAAGATGCCCTGCTGAGCGCCGCCGCGGTGCATGTTGAAGACGATGTTCTGCAGGCTGGTGGCCTGGGCCACCTGCCAGTGGATGCCGGTGCCAGTGGAGGCGGGCTGGGCGGTCAGGTCGACGATGAAGTTGCGCATCTGGCGGAAGAAGTTGTTCTGGTTTGTCCAGGCGTTGTTGCCCTGGTTGTCATAGGGGTTGGCGTCGACGACGGCCATGCCGGCGAAGTTGGGGGCGGCGCGCAGGGTAGGGGGGTTATGCAGGTCGCCGACCATGTGGGTGTAGTACATGGGAATCAGGGGCCTGCTGACGAGGTAGATGCCGGGAGGGAAGTAAACGAGGCCGGGGGTGGTGGTCTGCGAGTCGCAGCCAAAGTAGCAACGGTCGCCCGAAGACATGGCTCGGTTAATGGCATCGGTGTCATCGGTGATGCCATCACCGACGGCACCAAAGTCCTTGACATTACGGAAGACTTGGTAGCCCTGGGTACCAAAGGCAGCAGCTCCCTCACGCTCGATCTGAGCGAACCACCAGTCGGAGGCAGCGGTGGCGGAGTTATCCTGGGGGGCAGGGTCAGCGGCAGCGGTGGGAGCGGCAGCCGACAGGGAGAAGAGGCGCGAGGCCACAAGGAAGGTCGTGACGACCGACGCGAGGCCCATCATGATGAACCAACACGCCACCGATATGTTTTGGGATCGGTTAGGAGAAAAGGAGCGTCGTTGGTCGAGTGAGAGACTCTAAATAAGTTGATGCTGGTCAGGACTCGGGACTCAGTTAAGAATGAAGGTGATGGTTTGTAAAAGAGTGTGTGATGGTTGAAATGAGAGAGAGAGAGAAGGAAGGAGGGAGGGAGGGAGGGAGAAGGATTGTTGAAGAATATAGGGAAGTGGGTGTGCATGTGTTGTGTGACGAAGGGAGAGGATTTAGGCAGAGGAAGCGAAAACAAGAAAACCTCCAGATATTAAGCGAGCAAACAAGCGAGGGGCCGGGAAGGGGAAACAAACTCTGATAGTATACTATCTAGGAGGAAGGAAGGGAATCGCGGAACGAGTGACAAAAGTAACAACGTATTTAAGTCAACTCTCCTTGGCTCAGACAAGAACTCGCTGGGTTGACAACCTCAACGTACCCTTCTTTGGCGTTGACAATGACAATGAGGATCTCGAAAGCTGAAGAGATCTCTAGAAGAGAAGTCTTTCTGTTTTGTTTTCTCTTATACCCCGTTAGAAGAGAATGAGTGATTTGATGCTTAGTGGCCACTGACCTGGCGATGGGAATGGAAAGAGAAGGGGAATGAAGGGGTACAAAAACAGGGAAGGTGATAGTGATAAAAAGACCAAGTGCCTGCCAGTCCAGACTCAAGGAACAAGAAGTGATTTATATTCCTTCCACTCTAGTCCACTCTAGACCCATCACCCTTTATATTGACCGGACGAGCATTTGAATGCAATGATGGCCACTTGGCTTCTGGGGGACAGTTTAATGGGTACCTTGGGAAGACAGCCCGGGCACGGTGAATGGATCGGCAATAATACCACTGCAATCCAGCCCCCGTCGTTGATGCTACCGTCGATCCGGACTCTCGGCATCGCCAATGTTCTGAGCTCCTGGTTCCACCTGTGACTTGCGACCTGTGGCCTGTTGACCTGTTGACTTGCGTCTCACTTACAGCTGGCAGAGAATCACTGATGCATGCCAGGTAGAGAACGTCTTTCCCAATATGTGTTCTCGCTTATACGAGACCTCTTAGGAGGAGGAGACGCGGCCTCGGGAGTCGGGACTTGTGAGAGGAGGGGTAGACAAAAGATCCAGGGCGGTAGCAAGGTGGACAGAGACGGCAGAGAATGAGGGGCAGAGCAGCAGAGACGCAGAGGCACAGCCGGGAATGCGAGGGAACGAAACACGAGAAAGGGGGGTACTGGAGAGCTGGGCTGGGAGCTGGAACACATGTTACATGTAACTAGCCACTTACCCCGGAGGCACGCGGGTTACGCCGGTGGTGGAGATCCCGGCCACACGGACAACTGGGACGGGCGATCGAGGCCTTATCGGGAAGGCGTTGGGTTCGGTGTATTGTGCGAATATGTAGTCTGTACAAAGTACTCCGACTTCGTAGGCTGGCAGATAGACGAGGCCTGCTCGCGAAGAAGATGGATTTTGAATAGGGAAAGGCTAGAAGTGAAGAAGGAATATGAGACTGAGAATGAGGCTGGCACTGAAACTGAGACCGAGCCTCAGCCTGCGCGACCTAGTGCGCGTGGGCTGCTGTGGGAAGAGTGGAGATGAGGAGGTAAGGGAGAGCTCTAACCAAGAGTGATTCAAGAGACAGATGACGGAGTCTTTTCGAGGAGCAATCAAGAAATGGGACGGTGGTATTCGGTAAGTGTAGGGTGAAGGAAAGTAACGTCTCTTGCCCGTAATCGAGGAACCTGATCATAAGATCATAACCGGTATGAAAAAGCAGGAAGCAGAAGCGGCAGCAGACGAAGAGACCCCCAAGCCGGCGGCTTCGTCGGCCTTACTATATCATCTTCGCCCAGGGGATATCATCCACCCACGTCCGCGCCTACCTCTGCTCCGTACATACATGTGCATCGTGGGGAACTGTCCGAATAGACTGCCCCCCTTGCCCGGTAGACGACGCGCTAAGCCCATCGTCGACCGATGTCATGTTTGGATGTTGGGGTGAAAAAAGGCCCCGGGGTGGTTCGGTAGATGGGTGGACTACCCAGGCAATGTGGGGCGGCAGTCGCCGGGTAGGTATGTAGTTCTTATTAGTGTTGCAAGAAATGGATGGGGCGAAGTTCGAAGCACGGAGGCAATCGTTCGGCTACTGAGAGAGAGAGAGAGAGAGAAAGAGAGAGTCAGTCAGGTCGACAGGCGCGTGAACGTGCAAAATATGAGCGACAACCATCACAACTTACACTGGTCGAGCCAGTTAACAGTGAATTCGGTCAGGTCCAGTCAGGTCCAGTCAGACAGTCAGTCCACTGAAAACCACTCGTCCCAACACCGGTCTAGCACCCCTCTTCCTTTTCCGTCAGATAGGATGGGTGGTCCTCGTGAATCAAAGTGTCACAGACAGAGAAAGGAAGCAAGCGTAGTGGATGTTGTGTGGGCAAGACTCGCGATGGCAGCGCTATTGAATATGGACAGCTGACGTCTCAAACAAATACCTTAGATGGCAAAAGCAAGGGTCGAAAAGTCGAGCGAGTCGACACATAACGTTTAAAGTACCGAGTACAGAGTTACATAGTGTCCTACAGCCTTAAAGACATAGTACAAAGTACCACGTACCTTAGCCGACGGACCAAATGTTAATGCAGGAACCGTCGAAAGCCGAAAGACTTGCTGACCCCTATTTGTCATTCGCGACCGACCGTTGTCGCCACATCGTATGTACCCCTGAGTACTTCCGATCAATGTTGTTTTTCGGCGGCTTTTCGTCTCCATAAACATCCCTTTATGCAATGTTCTAATTAAATAATATTTTTTATAAACAATTGTTATATCGCCGTCAACAGCCACCTCTTCCACCACCTCGATAACTCACTCCCGAGTCCGTGGTTTATAACTTAGGCGGAATAAAGAAACATAATATCTAAACCTCCCTTTTTTTCTTCTCTGGCGTACATCGTACCTGACCATCCCGACCGACCCTTGATCCTGGACACGACAAAAGAGGGACGGCGCGACCTTAAATCAATGAGTGCCCGTCTTCCGCCCCTCCCCCCCCCCCCGGTCCCGTCTTCCGGGTTGACTTAAACTCTTTCTGGATCAAAAATCCACTATTTCTCTACTACCCGAAAATACCTAGGTATATTTCCTCAGGGCTAGGGTTCCTTTTATCGTGGAGGGCCTTCGTGGAGGCCTTCTTCGTTCCTTATACGCGTTCCATCTACTTATATTAGAGTACCTGCGAAACCTACCTATTTTCGGGTAGTGGAGAAATAGTGGGGTTTTAAATCCAGAAAGAGTTTAAGTCAACCCAGAAGACGGAACGGGGGGGGGGCGGAAGACGGCCACTCCAGATTAATTAGCTACAGGAATTAACAAACCAATTCATTGGCCCTGAAGCTCCGCACCGGATGAATGAGTCCAGAACCTATTTCGAGATCGACAGCGCGTTACCGAAAGGAATCCGGGGAACGAACCCACTGCGAAGAGAAGAATATTCCGAGGTATCCCGGAGCCTTCTCTATTTCCATACAGTGGAATCTCCCCTCGCTGCCGCAGGTATGGTGTTGTCGCAGATATAACGAGGCTAGAACCAACCAAGACACAATACACCGTGATGCTTTATTCGGGCTCGATTCTTCTTGCCGCCAACCAACTTCGAGTCTCAGAATCGTGAGTACCGTATCATACCATGCATCGTCTAGCGATTCAGCTTCATTAATAACAGGCGAGTAAACGAAAGGGGGGGGTTGGTCGGCATAAAAATTCCAATAAAATCAAACTCCCACACGCCTTTGCCACTGCCTTTGCGTTCGACTTGATGTATACCTAGGAGTCGGGAACCAAGCGTTGCACTCTTTCCTTTCCTCGTGACCACGTCTACGACTAGGCCAGCACCCCCTATTTCCCACCACCCCATCCATCATAGGGACGCCCAATACCACACCAGATCCAGCAGGACCAATAGCGAGACGCGGGCATTGATGCGCACGACTAATGACCACAACCGCCCGACCAGCACGGCCAGCACGGCCTCGCCGCTTCGGCCCTTCTCGTCTCTCCCCAGCACCTAGCACGAGCACAAGGTCCCGTTACCCGGCGCGGGAAGGGCTTGTGATCACACCCAACATGAAGCTAGGTAATACTCCATCAATGCGGCGTATCCTGGGTTGTCTTTTCAAAACAAGTCGGATCATAACGTCCCCCTCTCCTATAAAGTGCCGACGAGATAACATAGGCATTGACTCCGTCGCGATGTTACTCTAGGATACCTGCAACCACTCCCGACTTGCACGATGCAGCATCCCCGCCACATCTCAACGCGGGGCAGTTAATAACCATCTTGGACGGAAATGATCCGGTGGTGGTAGTCGTTGCCGTCTTTGACATGGGAATCTAGAGATGTCGCGCATAGCAGACCCTTGACTGTTAGAATAGTCCATTCACGATCATGATGCCAAAAGGTAGGCTAGCTTGTCTACGAATTCCTCCGGCACCCTGAGGGAGAGGCGCTGGAACGAGGCACGGAGAGGAGGACTAGGTATGCAGTCCGACGGTCTGTCTAGCTTATCGAGGAAGCTAGACGGCATGCGAGCGGTGTAGACATAAATGCTGGCTGGTACGGCTCCATCATCAAGGGCGAGAACCTGGACCTTTGCGACAGATGTCTTAGTGGTGTTTGTGGGGCCAAAAAAAAAAGGGGGGGGGGAAAGAGGGAGGGAGAGAGCTGAAGTTGCTGAACAAGCCCTACCCACCTTGAAGGGAGTGGGATTTGCTTCCGTAGCCTGCGGCCCCGAGCCTGTTCCCACCGTCTGTGTCGGGTTTCCATGTTCCAGTCGTTGCGCCTGGGCCAGTGCAATCAGAAGAGCCATGATGTATGGATCTCTCGCCTTTTTTATGGGGTGAATGCTGCGCAACCTCTTTTGCCTCAGGCTTATCATGGGCCAATTGACCCGGTTGGTATGGGTCTTAAGACGAGGGCCTCGGATGAATCTCTCTCAGAGAGCGGAAATAGTGTCGAGGTCGATATAAGCTAGCTTTGGACGCGCGGAGCCGGGAAGAGAAAAGGCATTATCCGTGCGCATGATACTGACAACCTGCCCTTTGAAGCGGAAGGGTAGCTCTGGCCTGAGTGGTGGTAAGTAGTCCGAAGGATTAGACGTGGGAGACGGCCATGCTGAAAGGAAGAACGGAGATGCAAATAGATCTATGATACTCACTGCACGGGAACCATGTCAAAGTATGCAAGAACACTCAGCATTGCAGCCCTCTTGAACTCTAGTGTACCCAGAGCCCGAAGGTACCTCGCATTCCGAATGGCCGTTTGGCGCTGGTCATCTTTCCTGCATTGAGGATCCAAGTCTCCTCTATTCTCCTGGCTCGGGGTCGGTGGACTCCGTGGTCCCTTGACCTTGGCGAACCGGCATCCAAGGAGGTCCAATTGAAGGGCGGCCCAGGCGATAGGAGGGACATAGAGGCGGGCCCTACAGTGGCTACGGAGGAGCGAATTGATTGAAGGCGGCTCTCCTGGCTCTCCTAGCTCCCCTCTACCTCCTTTGCCAGCTGTGTTGCTGATTGCGGCAAAGTCAGGACTCGAGAGAAGACCGCGCCTGGGTGAGGATTCTGGCGGCAACCCCACGCGTGCCTCAGGTATGGACTTGGTAGACTCGGCGGGCTGATGCAGGTGGCTCATGGAAAGATCCGGCGATGGTTGAGAGAGTCGAGACTGCATGTAGGATGACGGCGTTATTCCGCGTTTTTCTTGTGCAATGAAAAAGAGATAAGGTAGGTAGGTAGGTACTTTCATGAGCCCAAGCGGATGGAATTCGCGGAACCGGCATCAAAGCGTTGATTGTTTGGTTCTTGGTAGTACCTGTCTTGGGTCTTGGTAATAGGATACGTTACATACATGCATGTACATTTGCCCATGCCATGTCATGTATCTAGGTATCTCCCAGTTCTCAATCTCAACTGCTATGCAGCCATGCGGATTAAGGTAGTCGGCGAACCTTGAAAGTTGTATCAATGCTACCTTACCTTCCATGGTTGCTGGTGACCGAGTACTTTGCCATGACCATCTACGTGGTGGGATCGATTTTCAACTCCGCCATCTTCGTCAAGTTACATTCGCCCTATGGCAGTCAAGTCGTCTTCAAGAACAGGAATATATGGCTTGATGTCTAGAAATCTATAGACTTCTCCTTCTTCACCTCTAGGGAATTCCCGTCCTGGCTACTATATGTTTATGCAGATCTAAGAATCCGTCCGTGTCTCTCTGTCTATCCGGTATTCTCACCACTGCGCTCGCTCAACAATCCAAAAGCGTTTCCAACGATGCATGGTATCCCTGACTCTATCATTCCAAGAGAATCTAGAATCTAACCAGGGCAACACATATCGAGACTATGTACCCAACAAGGCAGACTGGCCAGGGGTCTAATGCTCTATCCCATGGACCAGTACTCTAACCAAAGTGGTGGACAGAAAGATCTGAACGATGGACAGCATAAGTGAACAAAAGTGGCCAACATGGAAAATCACAATATAGTAAAGAAGAAATAAAGGACAAGAGAAATCGCTATGTCGAAGACACACTGGAAAATTCCCCCTTGGGCGCTGGATGTCAGATCGCTTCCGTTACGATCAGTACCAGGAGGTTCGGGGGTGGACGTAAGAAGACCAAACGCCGTCGCATATCTTGAAGTTAAAAAGTAAAAACAGAAAGACAAGACGAATTTTTTTAATAAAAATTCAGATGAAATCCAAAATAGAAAACAAAAATGTGTGAGGATATAGAGGGCCATGGTGGTGGAGCTGGGCGGTCGGGATCACTCGAGTCACACCGTCACCAGAGAGATTGAATGGCCAGAAGACAATTGGCCATGTCCCCTTCAGGCGAGTCCACCGACCCGGGGACTCTCGAGCATCTCGATGCCGTCAATATCCGCACCAAAGTCCATAATCAGAATCTTGGGGTCCTGCCCCGTGCTGACGATGCGGCGGTAATCGCTCTTGGCGCTGAGGACCCAGCTGGCATGCCACCTGGGGAAATCCAGCATCTGGCGGCCCGACTCCATATCGAAGACCTTAATGTCGGTGTCGTAGCTCCCGCTGACGAGGCGTCCCGAGACGGAGTCGACGTGCAGGCTGCGTACGAGGCCGTCGTGGGCCTGGATCTCGCGCACGCAGTCGCCCGTGTTGGCGTCCCAGACGCGGATGACCTTGTCGTTGCCCGCGGAGGCGACGTAGCGGCCGTCCTGGGTGAACTGGCTGCAGGCCAGGCCCTTGGTGTGGCCGACGAACTCGCGGATGTTCTTGCCCGTGTCGACGTTCCACAGCTTGACGCGGAAGTCGCCGCTGCAGCTGACGATGGTGTTGCCGCGGAGCTGCACGGCGTTGACGGGCCCGGCGTGCCCGCACAGCCGGCGCAGGAGGGTGCCCGTCTCGCGGTCCCACACGCAGATGGTCACGTCCTTGGAGCAGGTCACGATGTGGCGGTCGTCGAAGGCCAGGTCGAGCACCGCCGCCGTGTGCGCCCGCAGCCGGCGGAGGGGGCGGTAACCGTCGGGGACCGAGTAGACAATGCACGTCGAGTCGGACGAGCCGGTCACCAAGATGCGGTCGTCGTATTGTAGGCACAGGATGGAGGCTTGGTGATGCATGGGAAAGGTGGCGACGTCGGGCATCGAGGGGGCGGTATGTGTACCATCGGGGAGGACGGCGTGGTGGACAGGTTGGCCTTCGGCGTCGAGGAGGAGCGAGGGGCTGTTCACAATGTCGGGCGGACCGATGACGAGGCGACATTCGAAGGTGTGCATATCCCAGATACGGATAGTCCTATCGCGGGAACCGGTGACGATCTTGGACCTAGAGCAGATGGAGGCGATTAGCTGGGTGGTCCACAGAGAATGATTTGGGTTGAGGGGGCGGTGAGATGAACCAAAAGAAAGCGACGAAGGAGGGGAAAAAAGGGAAGAAACAAAGAAGAAAAAAACCACGGAGTAACATACTCGTCAAACTGGAGACAGTAGATGCTGTCGAGATGACCATTCAGGTAAACAGGCCTAGCCTTGCCCTCGCGCCAGCTACGGTCCAGCTGCTGCTTAACCTGGTAGACCTTTCTCCAGTCGACCTCGGCCGTCAAGGCAGGCACACCCTGAGAGGACCCAGGCTCGATAGGGCGGCCGGTAGCGTAGGTACCGGTCTTGGCTCTGAGGAAGGCATCCTTCCAGACGTGTCGATTCCTCACGATGCCGTCCCAGCGGCGCGACACGAGGGAAGCGGAGGCCAGGCAGGCGGCGTCGAGGTAAGCCAGAATCTGGATGGAGAGCTCGGGTGGCAGGTCGGAGATGAAGTCGACGCGGCTGATGTTGGCATCCTGCTTCAGATGGGAAGGCGTGGCGGCGGCGGCGGCGTCGGCCTCGTTGGCGGATACGGTGATGGCGATGCCTATGCCGCTCTCGCGATCGCTCTTGCAGTGCTCATTCCAACCGCCGGCAGCACCAGAAGCGGCAGCGGCGGCGGCGGCGGCGGCGGCAACGGCGGCCTTAGCGCCGGCACCGGTGTGTTCGGGAATGATGGGCGGCTCAGAGCCGTATCCTGGCAAAGGCATGTTGAGGAAAGCGTCCGGGTGTTCGAAGCGTTCGAAGCGATCGAAACGAGGGGCTTGGGCGTCGGCGGAACCATGGGAGGTCCGTGTATGGCGGAAGCTGGCGGCCTGGCGCAAGCGACGGTGCCAGGTAGGATGGGAAGTCGAGGTGGAGGGTCTCGAGGGGGTAAGGTGATCCAGACTGCTGCCAACGTCGACGCTGCTCGACAGTTGGGCAACGGAGTGTCTCTTGGAGTGGTGCACGAAGCCCTTTAGGGACATGGAGGCGCGGCGGATTAGGCCCTTTATGCGGCCGTCGTGTTCATTGGTGCCCGAGATGCGGCTTTGGCCGTGACCGTGGCTGCCCTGGCCGTCCTGGCCGTGGCCGGGCCGGCGTTGGTTATGGCGAGGAGGAAGCGCGTCGGTAGGTTGGAGGGAGAGGCGTTGTACACCGTCTTGGAGGCTGTCGTCGGGAGCAAGGGCGGAAGAGGATGGGTTGAAGGACAGCGAAAGCTGCGGTCGTCGCTTGAAAACGAGGGAGTGGCTCTTGCTTCGGAGACGCGCGTGGTTGAATGCCGAGGCGAGAGGTTCGCGAAGGGTATTATCATTGTTGTTATTGATATTGTCGGCGGAAGAGAAGAGGTCGGGATCAAGGGCGGAATGGGAGAGAGAAAGATCGGAGTCATCGTCGACGATGGCAGTCTCGTGATGGAGCCTGTGGGTCACGGGGGATGCATGCTGATGTTTGGACATGATGGTGGCTTGTCCAGGTTTTTGTTGTCGGTCGTTTTTGTCGGTTCGTTTTCGTCGGTTTGTGTTCGCACGTGGGAAAGCTTCCGAGACGAGCAGAATGCTCTGGTAAAGTCCAAAGTCCTTAGTCCTTCCCTCGTGGCATAGGCTTCCTGGAGGACCGAAGAGAATGTAACTTTGAAGAGGAGATGCTCAGATGAGAAGCAGCGGAGGGATGAGGATAGAAAAGAAATCAGAAAAGAAAGAAAAATGATCAGAAAAAGAAGAGAAGAGAGGAGAAAAAGAAGAAAAATAAATATAATCAACAATGCACCTAAAGCGCAAGGGACATGGGAGAGATCCAAGCCGACGAGGGTCCTGGAATCCGGGGGTAGTACTTGGCGTGGAGTCTGCCACCAGACAGACGTCTTGCCGCCTTCTCTTTATTATGATTGTTTTTTCTTCCTTCCCCCTTTCTTTGTTGATTTTTCTGCCACCCTCCTTTTCCAAATCAGGGGTCTCGGTCTCGGTCGGCGGGTCGGGTGGTTCAGGGGTTTTCGTTTTTCGATGGGCTGGTTGGGTGGATGGACGACGGGTCGGATGGTGAGATGGCTTGACGGGGAGATCGGAGTCCGCGGAGTGTGGATGGAAGGGGGAAAGCGAAGAGTTTGCTCCCGTCGGATCAGCGGCCGTTTTCGCCTTTTTAGCACATTTCCCTGACTATCTCGTCCCTTTTCAGCAGTCTGTCCTCTAGACCCCTATCTTTCGAAATCGAAGTTAGGACGGTGGCCGAATACCGGTAAGTGTATTTTTCCGTGTTCGGGACTCCCGTAGCGTATGAAGTTGGGGCCGCGAAGGGAGTACACTATCGTGTAGTGTACAGTCTTGACACCAGGGGTAGCAGGCACTAAGTAATTGTGTCTGGTGTTTATGGCAAGGTACGGAAAGAGTACAGAGAACCGCCACATAGCATGGATACGGTACCGCCAGCGCAACTGCGAGAACAACATTTAAAAGTACCAGGGACACTTAATAGCGGTACTTTAAGTCGAGCTAAGTACTTCTTCGTACACGTGGTGGCAAAAACACCAGCTGAAACATGTCGTGTACCTTCGCAGAGGTCACGAATGTGGAGTGACTTGGGTCCATAATAAGGCATGACCTGAGCAAGTGGAACGCCCGTCCTTTCCAAGAAAGGAAAGGAAGAATCCGTATGTCCTTGCCACAAAAAAGGGCGGTGGACAACAGGGCCGAGTACGAAGTACAGCGAACTACGGAGGACACATTATTACCAGGCCATCTCACGAGGAATGAAGGTCGGTCAGTCGGCGAAAATGAATGATTGCGTTTTAGCCGATGACCGCTTCCCGCGTGGACATCCACAAGGATATCATCGCTACCTCAGCAGATCAGCCGAGCTCTACGACACGTATAGTAGGTATGTCCGCGAGTTAGGCCAGGGCACTCTCAGTAGAGTAAAACGTGCGCAGTAAAAGCAAAGCCCTTGGTTCTCACGCACTTCGCTTCGCACTAATGGACATTGCAGCAGATAAGGGGGTGTTATTCGTGGCTTCGAGATAGTACTTGCTTGGTGGTGACACAGCAGCATTGTATCCATTGCCCAGACACGAAGTTGTGGCATCTTTACATATGATTAGTCATCAACATAAGAGGCCCTCCGAAGTTACCTTAAGGTATTCTTAGGCGACGATAATTTTGGGTATGGCGGTAAAGTGGAATGTCCCCAAAAGGTACGAATACACCGCTGTACTCCGTACCCTAAGGTATGAAGCATCCGTACCTAATGCCAGATTGTCGAGGTTTTACCGGTACAGTTCTTATTAAATAGCTTCAAACTCCCGTCTACTCCATACTCGCTACCTTTCCTTTCTCTTCCACAAGTCGATTTGGTCTGTCCTATTTTCGTACGTCCTTCCACGGCGGAAAGCCCCCCTCTGTGCCAGCACTCCTCGACCAGCAGCCTGACATATGACCTCTAGATATGAGAATTCCAGTCGGAAGACAACGAAACGACCAAACATGGCGGGCACCAACCTCCCGCTCGCCTACCGCATCTTCTTCCTCCTCATCGAACCCATCGCCACCGCCGTCGGCGCCTTCTACGCCCACTTCCGCCCCGACAAATATCTCCACCTCACCCACGCCGCCTCGGCTCCTTCCCCCACCGTCCCGCTGGGCACCGAGATTGCCCTGTCCCAGCTGGGCAACCTATACCTCGCCTTCGCCCTCAGCGAAGCCCTCGTCCTGCGGTGCACCGCCGACCTGCGGGTCTGGCGCGCCTTCCTCTTCGTCCTGCTGATCGCCGACTTTGGTCATCTCTACACCGTCCGTGCTCTCGGCCCGTCCATTTACTACGACGTCTCCGCCTGGAACGCCATTGACTGGGGGAACATCCCCTACGTGTACTTCGCCGCCGCTGTTCGGATCGCTTTTCTGTCGGGAGTCGGTATGAGGAGCAAGGTGCAAACCACAAAGAAGCGGGCCTGAAAGAGAGAAACAAAACGGAAGGCAAGGGAAAGGGAAAAAAGAAGAAAAAAAGACAGAATAGAAAACAGCAACACGATGGGTTTGTCATTTGTCGGGTCGCTATCGGGCCGGGAGCAGGCGAAAACCCGTGCCTGAGAAGAAATTCGAAATTCTCCACTGGACGAGCTGGTCGAAAAGAAAGAGTCCATATCGAGATCTCAGAACAATGCCCATGGATCTCGGCGTGCAAGTGACAAATTGAAGAAACCGTCGCACCAGAAGACTGCCCTCGAATATAACAGACACCATTTGTCTCTCCTGTTCCCATCATCCCCATTTTGCTCCCTAGTCTCGACTGCGAACCCACACCTCCTCCACCTCCCTCCCCATTGACGGAGAAATCGGCGTAACCCTCGGAAAATTCGCCGGGGAATTCTCATTCCCAACCAATCGCCGTCCTTTGCCGTACCCGACGGTTGAAATCGCCAGTCCAAAGTCGACGCGCCCATCCCACTATGCTTCTGGTCTTGTCCGCTAAAAAAATAAAGGCCCCGTTCCCGGCCCAGTTATCCCGCCAGATGGGGAGAGCCTATGTCGTCCTGCCCCTCTCATCGTTACGCCGGCGCCGCCCCACGGCATTGCTGTGATGCCAATGCGGGTGAGAGGGCGAGGAAAGAGGAAATGGGTCAGCATGACGATGGTGGGGGGTAAAGTGGGCGGGGGAGAATTGGTGTTGAGAGATGGGAGGAGGAAGGAGGGAGGACGATGCTGCTTTTCCTCTTCTATACCGTCCTCCCCTCTGGTCTCCCCCTTCTCCCCCGTTCTCTCCGGCGCACGAGCTTTTCATTTCTCTGGAACATCCAATCTGTCTTCTTTCTTTGCTTTGTCGTTCTTCCTCGTTCAATCGACTCGCAACCGTCTGCCCACGACACCACGACACCACCATGACCTCATACCCCGACAAATTCACGGGCTTCCAGGTCAAGAGCGCCGACACCTGGCAGGAAGTCCACAAACAGGAGTTCGACCCCAAGCCCTTTGGCGACTACGACGTCGACATCAAGATTGAGTGCTGCGGCGTCTGCTCCAGTGACATTCATACCGTCCGCGGCGACTGGGGGGCCCAGCCCTACCCTTTGGCGGTTGGTCATGGTACGTTGGTTTATTTTTTTGGTTTTAAATTTTTTTCCCCGGTCTTTCTACTAACATTTCGTCAGAGATCGTCGGCAAGGCGATCAAGGTCGGTCCCAAAGTCACCCTCGTCAAGGAAGGCGACCGTGTCGGCGTCGGCGCCCAGTCCTATGCCTGCCTGAACTGCAGGCAGTGCAAGAACGACAACGAGACATACTGCCGAGACCAGCTCGATACCTATGGCGCTACTTGGCCCGACTCGGGCGCCATTTCGCAGGGCGGCTATTCTTCTCATGTCCGCACCCACCAGCACTGGTAAGCGTCCTACGACCGCTTCCCCCCCTAGGACCCCTGTCCGGGTGATCGGAGGTCAAAAGATGTCTGTACAAATCCCAACATTGTGGTTCGCAGGGTGTTTCCGATCCCCGACAGCCTTCCGAGCGAGATCGCCGCCCCCATGCTATGCGCCGGCCTAACCGCCTACGCCCCCCTAGTACGCAACGGCGCCGGCCCAGGCAAGAAAGTAGGCGTTGTAGGAATTGGCGGCATCGGCCACTTCGGCATCCTCTTCGCCAAAGCCCTCGGCGCCCAAGTATGGGCCATCTCGCGGTCGCGGTCCAAGGAGGCCGACGCGCTCCAGATGGGCGCCGACGGCTTCATCGCCACGGCAGAGGACCAGTGGAACGAGCCGCACCGGATGACCTTCGACCTGATCGTCAACACCGCCAGCTCGACCGAGGACTTCGACCTCTCCACCTACCTGACCCTGCTCGACGTCCACGGCAGGTGGGTGTCCGTCGGCCTCCCCGGCGGCGGCGGCTTCACTGTGCGCAACCAGGACTTCATCCCCAACGGGTGCTTCATCGGCAGCTCCCATCTCGGCAGCCGCCGCGAGACGTTGGAAATGCTGCAGCTTGCTGCCGACAAGAAGCTGTTTACCTGGGTTGAGAAGATCCCCATCAGTCCCGAGGGTCTCAAGAAGGCGTTCCAGGGTGTCGACGCTTCCAAGGTCCGCTATCGGTACTGCATGACCAACTACGATGATGCATTTGGCGTGTAGAAGAAGAACATATTGCAGATACATTATCCATACAACGGAGACATCAGCGACGGACTTTATGACTTTGGAGCTGAAAAGATCGGGGAGCCAGGGAGTAGGGTGGCACATAGACGGCGGGCAATATTGTTATTGTGCCACTGTAAAGAAGACTATTTCGACGAGAACTGAATAGATCCGCGAAATGGGAGAGGCTGGAGTACGATCAACAAGCCAACAAAAGGAGGGCACTGTGAGAGTGTGTCTCCAATTGGGGGCCAGGGGTAATGAACATTAGCCCGGGATCCTCTCAGCAGCTCCTATTTCGAGTGCAGCTTTCTTGTCATGTGACGTTTTCTTGTCATGTGACGTTTTCCCCCTTTTCTCCCCGCTCTATGACCTCTACTTACCCCGCGGTCATTGCTCTGGCGTTCATTCTTCCAAGGCCCCGTCTTGTCGGCTGTTGAGAAAGACTAAACAGCCTACAGGGGTGCCCAAAACGAACCCCAATATCGCCCTCAGACGGGACCACTAACAGTGTCGTCCAACTGCGTGCAGGACGGCTCACCCCACCAACAGAGCTGTGCTGACATTGCGTCGGGATAGATAGCAATGGACAGCGGGGATGTTTTCCTGATCAACGGATCCGCATCCAGTAAAGGATGGTCGCTCACTCGCTCTTCTCTCCGCACCTCGGCTTTCGGGTCATTATCGACCGGCTTTCAGGTTTCGTCCTGGTCTCTCTGCGGAGACACTGTAAATATTCGGAGGAAAATGACCAACATGACGATCGGGATAGAAAGGACAGTATGACACATTGTCTCGTGGGAGAGAGTATGGTATGATATAAGGAGGGCCGTCCTTCGTCGAATTTTGTGGAGAGAAGACTGTTGTCGCTAGCCAGAGCAGTCTTGGCGCTTCTCCTAGCTCTCTGAGCCTCTGCTCTTCCTCTCCACACCAGCAGCTATGACTGTCCTATCCAGGTTATTATTGTCAGCCGTCACGTTCTCGTCTCTCGTCGTCGCGAGATGGATCGTCCCTGGCGGACGGTGGCTCGACACGGACGGGGAGAGGATACGATGCCACGCCGGCGGCATCACCGTCAAGAAAGAAACCGGTCGATTCTTCTGGTTCGGCGAGTACAAGACAGAGGATATGCCGGAGGGAGGCGGTGTGTCAGTGTACAGCTCGGATGACCTCGTCACCTGGGAGAACCACGGGCTCGCCCTCAGTAAGTCGAACACATCCTTTTCAACCCCTGGGAGGCTGGGTCGGCCAATGATTCGCAGAACTTACCTTTGTCCCTGACAATCTGACAACAAACTAACGCCAAGTTCTTCTTTTTCTTCCCAGTTCCCGAAGAGGGCCATGAGTTCGTTGCCCCCGACATGATAATCCAACGCCCCAAAGTTGCCTATAGCAAGGCGACGGAGCAATATCACGTTCGTCTTCCACCCGTCATATATCTCTCCGTGCTGGCAGGCAGCCTGATGTTATATCTTATGTCTCTGCAAAGATGTGGTGGCACGCCGACGACGAAGACTATAGCCCTCTGCTGCAAGGCCTCGCGACCTCTCCCAACATCACCGGTCCCTACTGCTTCGTCGACGCCACCGCGCCGCTGGGAAATTGGTCGCAAGACTTCGGTATGTTCACCGACCGCAACGACGGGCGGACCTACGCCCTCTACTCCAACGGCGACAGCGTCGAGGGCCGCGACGTCTACCTATCGGCCTTCAACGAGGAAATCACCGAGGTAGAGGAGGTCACCTTCCGATGGGACAAGTTCGACCTCGAGGCGCCCACCATCATCCAGACGGACGCGGGTTACTTCGCCATCATGAGTCATAAGACGGGGTACCGTCCCAACAACGTGGTCGCCTTCCGCGCCGACGACCTCTCGGGGCCCTGGAGCCAGCCGTTCATGATCGCCCCTCCTTACACGCGGACCTTTAGCTCGCAGTCCGGGTTCTCGCTGCGCATCGACGGCACGAAACAGACCACGTACTTGTACCTCGGCGACCAGTGGGATCTCAACTCCAACTGGGAAGCGCGCTACATCTGGCTGCCCATCATCGTGGACGAGGAGACGCAGAGCATCAAGCTTGCGTGGTACGACGTGTACGACCTCGATGTCGAGACGGGCGAGGTGACACCCATTATGGGCGAGACGTACTACGCGTACGAGGACGACACGGTCGTGGCCGGAGAGGCGTGGAAGCAGGAAGCGACTTTTTCGTCGGGGAGGAAGATCGCGACGGGGATCTACGGGAACGACAGCACCGTCACCTTCACTGGTATCGAGGGTGCCGGGGCGAAACAGTGGGTTTCATTTTACTACCAGAACACGGACGACATGGGTTTTGGCGACCAGCCTTACGGTAACCCGGACCGCATCGGCGGAGTGTGGCAGATTCGGCGTATCAGCAGCGTTGTGGTCAACGGGCGTGAGGAGGAGGTCGAGACGCTCTGGCAACGGGATACCCACAAGGACATCATTCTCTCTACTCCTCTTCTCCTGGAACTTGATGAGGGGAGTGAGAACAATATCACGGTTGGCGGACTGTGGAACGGATTCGATTATAAGGGAGCTGATCTTGATTGGATTGTTGTGTATCCCCCTGAGCCGACTAACGGTTGCCGCGGCTGATAGAAGTTAGAACTAGACTAGACGTGACACATCTAGGGGATATGTAATGTAACACACGAACTTCCGAGGACGCAAGAGATTGATAGAAGTGCACTGGCTGGTCATGGTCTATCCAGTTGAGGACTCGACTCTTGGTTTTGCAGCCGATGCTACCTACGCGGGAGGGGGGGGGGGGGTTATAGATAGTCTGGCCTTATAATGACTGTCGCTGAAGTAATAGCCTTATAATGTGGTGCCCCGATACTATGTCCATATAATGTGGATATCACTAAATAACGTGTTTACTATCATCGATTAATACTATGTGAAACTGGTCAGGTATATTACGGCAGTTATTTTAAATGGTGAAGTTTATGGTAATCAGTGAAAAACGGTGACCTGAAGAGGTATACTGTTATACACTTTAGGGTATCCCCTTTATTATCCGAGACCCACTAAATAACTAATAGAGCTTAATATTCTGACTGGTTTATGAAATACTTATGCCTTAATTATAGTAGCTAAGTTAATTGATATTATTTTGCTTACTCTATTCGCTATATTAGTATAGTGAAGTTAATAGTATAAGACGGTTAATAGTAAATTAAGTAACCTATTCTAGCCCTTAATAGTAACTATATCTTATATAATATACTAGCTCGTATTTCACTATTTCAAGCGGACTATCCTATCCACTAAGATATCAGAACCCCTTATCGTCGGAATCCAGCTCCTACTTTAGATATATATTTATATCGGAAAGCTAGTCGGGTTTTATAATAGACGATTCTTTAGTAATTATGATAATAGACTGTCTTATATCCGTGAAATCTCCGATACTTCCTCCGTGGACTTCTATCGATTCGGAAGTTATATCGGGCGTGTTAATAGGAGGTATTAAATTATACGATATATAGTACTAGTCGCGGAGCTAACGCACGTATTCCCTTATACGGGACCGTCGAAAAAAGTCGCTACATTCGATATTTTTAATATCCAGGTTTATATAAAATTCCTCCGTGAGTTCCCGCCTAACCTTAGCCGATTCTTCGGTAGCTTAGATCTCTTTTAGCTCGTGGGAGTTAAAGCTAGGAGAGCGAGCTAAAAGAGGGGTAGCCTTATAGTGAATTACTAACTTAAAAGGGTCGATTTATCGCTAAGAATTATTATCCTTATGTTTAGGTCCTATATCTAAGTCTAGGATCGTGGAGGGGAATCCACTAGACTAAGAGTAGGATCTCTCCTCTTTACCGTTTACTAGGCTCTTTATCGGAAGTCCTGGAGAGGCGGTATATATATATATCGAGTATCCGTATATAAGGTAAGGTAGGTAAATAAATATAGTCTATATACTCGGTAGGTTGGTATTCGACTTAATTCCCCGCTCTATAATAGTATAGCTTCTTACCTAGTAAAAAATAGATCTAAGGGTCTTAAGATACGGATAATAATATCTGTTAATATCAGGAAGTTTATAAAATAGGAGATTAGGACTCGACTCGATCTCTCGCTCGTAGAAAGTATCGATCTTTATTTAGTAAAAAGAAGATCTAATAATCTAGGAATTCGTGAAATAAAACTAAGCTGGAATCTAAACTGTATCTAACCTAGACTTAGGCGGCGTGAAATCCTTACTATTCTTCTAACCCGTTATATAACCACCAATTCTATCCCGAGGTAACTACATATAGGCAATATATCTTAGAACCTATTAGTATTCTTTTTTGAATATATTATATTTTATAATTCCCGTGCCTCTTCCTTTACTACCTTCTCCGGAATAATACCGTGTCGTTAAAGCTAAAATCATTTTACTAGATATATCGCTAGTAATATCCCTCTTCCTAATACCTCCTCGATAATATTATTAGCCTATATATCGCGGCACCTTATTCTTTATCCCCTATTTACTATATACCTAAGCTTAGCTAGTATCCTACTCCACTTACTAGACGCTATATTTATTAGTCTCCACGATAGTCTCCTTAGCCGTCTATATCTCCTAAGCTGGCTAAGTATCCTATTCTATTTACTAGATGCTATGTTCACTAGTCTCCTAGGCTGGCTAGGTATTCTATTCCACTTACTAGACGCTATATTTACTAGTCTCCTCGGTAATCTCCTTAGCCGTCTACGTCTTCTAAGCTAGCTAGGTATCCTCCGGTTCCTTATTACTCGCCTCCTTATCTTATCCCGCCTTATCGGCTATATTATTATCCGCTTAGTAAAATCCAGTATTACCGCCCTTTAACTTATTCGTACGCGTATTTTTAGCGCGGCGTGGCTTAGAAGATTTAGTAGTCTGCTTTTTAGCGGTAGTCTTCTCTATATACTTACGAATCTTAGCCTTCGGCTTATACACTCCGAGAGTCTTAGCTAGAGTATCTAGTTTATTGTTATACTTTCGCTTCTTAGAGCTAGCTTAGTTAGGATTATATCCTCTTTTTTCACTACGTTCTTTAAGCTTCACGACGGTTATAACGAGATCTTTCTCTTAGCGTTTAGCCCCGTTAACGGTGGTGAAACCTAGATATATAGCGGACTTCCGCTAGTTATTCAGTATAGCCACTCGCTTAGGAATTAGAATAGATATATTTTTACCGTCCTGCACGATAATTTTATACTACCACTTATCTAGCAGGTTTCTTGTGTATATCGGAAATAAAGCCTTATTCTGATAGACCGAGAGGGCCCTAAGAAAATATCCTCTATAGAGGTTTTTACTATTATCCTTCTTTAAAGCATCGAAGAACGTGCGGTACGGGATCTACTACGACTTAGGTATACTAGTATCTGCTATAGTGCTTACTTCTAGCTTCTAAGTAAGTATATCTAGATCTTACCCACGGTAATAGTTAGTAATATCTAGTAAGCTATCTAGGAATTTAATATAGCTTTCGGGAAATTATAGAAATATAGTAATAAATCGTAAGAAATTGTAATAAGTCGTATGGAATTCGTGGTATATCTATAGCTAACCTAGAAATTTAGAATTTAAAGCTATTAACTGTTTATTTCTACGCGATACGTTGGTTTAATTACTTCTAATTACTGTATACTAGAGTTAAGTTAATATAATACGTATAGAGCTTAGAAGAGAAGAAGTCTACTAGAGATAAAAAAGACAGGAGGAATAGAAGAGTCGAAGAGTAAGATAGGTAAGGCACGATATATACCTTACCTTAGACTATACGGTAAAGCAGATAAGGCAGGACTACCGTAGGATACGACTACCTTTACTTCCTATTAGTATCTATCCTCTTTTTATAATATAAGGATATCAGATGAGCTAAATACCTATCTATAATATCTTTACTTATAAGAATTAGTGAAATTCGAGGTTAAGACTTAGTGATATAGAATTTAACTAGATAAGGCCTATAATAGAAGTCCGTAATATTAGGCGGCGTAGATATTTCTTTAAACTAAGCTAAGGTAAAATATAAAATAATTCGGAAATAGGTTTCAGACTATAAGTTATTATACGAATTATTTCACGGATTTAAAATAAAATCATAAATCAAGAAATATAATATATCTTACCCTATAAAATAAAGCTATATAGTAATCTTAGCGCCTTTAAACTATATTGCCGAGTATACTCTATTCCCCTAAAACTAAACCTTAGTCCTAAACCCAGACCGCCGTTATAAACCGTTAATTAATATATAGTAATACCTAAGATAACCACTAAACTCTATCCGTACCTTAATACCCTTCCTACTATGCCAGCTAAGATAATCGTGTCCTATATATATACCTTAACGCCTAAAAAACTTTTCCCGACCGACCTAGCCTATCTTTCTAAGTAAGAGTAATATTATTATCGTTATTATCACTTTTCCCTAGCTTCGTAGTATTAACGCTAATACTCTTAAAAAACACCTTATTCGGCTTCTATACGTTATTATTATTATTATCGGTAGTAGAAATCTTAGTTATCTTACGCTTCCGAGCCTTAGGCTATCTAGGCCTATCCGCGATATCTTTGATAATAGTAATTCTATGCTTACGCCAGTACTCGGCTATACCTATATCGGTGAATCTTTCTTATACCTAGGTAAGATCGTGCTTTTTACTACTAACAGGTTAGTTAGCCTTAATCTTCTATTCCTAGATTAGGTAGGCTTAAGCTACACGGTATAACTCGTAATAGATAATAGTATACTAGGCTCTAACTATGTCTATTAACCGAGAGATATTAATCTAATCCTTCATCCACACGAATATAGCCTTAAACTAGTTAGGGCTATACTACTCTATAAGACAATATCGTAGTATTTCTAAGGAGGCCTTAAATTTACCTAGTTTATTCTCTATTAACGTTCTTATATACTCTTGTAATATTATATTAATACCTAAGGTAAAGTAGAAGAGGATAACGGGAAATATAATATATAATCAGGTTAGTGATAGAGCGACTTTTCTATATATTAATATTATCTTTAAACCTCTTGTCCGTAAAGGTAAAAGCCCAAAGTCTAGTCTCGCCTTTTTCTATAAAGCCTTTAAAATACCACTCGATAAGGAGGTGTATAGCTTACTTACCGAAGTACACGAGGAATAGCTTTCTTATAGCCTGCTTAAAGGCCTTAAAATATCCCCGTAGCTCCTTACCCTACTCGGCTCTGGCCTTCGTGATATAGCCCCTTTTATTTTATCTTATTACTATCGCTAAATAGTTATTACCCTTCGGCTTAGTGAAATATTAGCCGAAGACGTATTATAACCGAGATGGGATTATTAGTATATAAGTACTCACTATATTCTTTTCGAACTAGCGGTTAAAACTCTAATCGTCCAGGATATTAATATTCTCGCCTAAGAGTGGATCGTCTAAATCCATATTAAAGGGGTCTCCGTCAGCCTCCCTAATAGCCCTACTGCCTTATAGAGTAGTCGTGTCTCCCTAGGAGTCGGGAACTATCGTCGAACCCTGCGTGGCGCTTACTATAGCGTTAACGAAAATAAACTAAACGGTGAAGTTAGAATCTTACCTCTTAGCGAACTTAAAATATAGA